CCCTCAGATACCAAATCTGGGTACACTCAAGTCCTTTCTATAAATGGCATAGTATTTGCACAGAACCTACAAAATCCTCCAGTAGGCTTGAAATAATCTCTAGAATACCTGAAATACCTAATGCAAAATAATTGTTATGATGTATTGTTTAGAGAAAAATGATAAGGAAAAAATGTCTGTACCTGTTCAGTACAGATGACATTTATTCCCCTAATAGTCTCCATTCTTGGTGATTGAATTTGAAGACACAGAACTGCCAATATGGAACTTGAGGATACAGAAGGCTGGCTGTATATGTGTACTCAAAAGAAATTTAAACATCCATCCCCCAAAATATTTTGTTTTAAAATAAAGTAAAAATAAGGACTGGGGATGTACTCAGTGGTAGAAATCCCTGGGTTCAATCCTTCATACTTTGGGGGGGGTAAATGAAGTCCTTTAGTTTTGGGTTCTTTTTTGGTACCAGGATTGATCTCAGGGGCACCCAACCACTGATCCACATCCCCAGCCCTATTTTGTATTTTATTTAGAGACAGGGTCTCACTGAGTTGCTTAGTGCCTCACCGTTGCTGAGGCTGGCTTTGAACTCTCCATCCTCCTATCTCAGCCTTCCAAGCTACTGGGATTACAGGTGTGTGCTAAGTCAAACAAGACAGACACAGGGCTGGAAGATGTAGCTGGGGATGTAGCTGAGTGGCAGAGCACTTGCTTAACATGACTGAGGTCCTGGATTCAGTGTCCAGTACCACTGCCCCCAAAAGGCAGTCACAAAGGACCACAAATATATGATTCCATTTATATGAAATGTCCAGAACAGGCAACTCTACAGACACAGAAAGCAGATGAGTAGTTACAGGCTGGGGTAGGTGCAGGGATTAAGGGTTAAAGCTAAGGAATATGAGGTTTATTTCTTTGGAAAATAAAAATGTTTTAAAGGTAACTTATGGTTGTATAGCTCTATGGATATACTAAAAACAATTAAATTGTATACTTCAAGTAGGTAAATTGTATGGCATGTGACTTATATCTCAATAGTGCTGTTATAGATTGAGCATCCCTAATCTAAAAATCCAATTTCATATGCTCTAAAATCTAAAATTTTGGGAATGCCTACATAACACTCAAAAAGTTTCAAGTAGGACTATACAAGGCCCTGAATTTCATTCCTAACACTGCTAAATAAATAAATAAATAAATATTTATTATTTTTTTTTCCAGAATTTGGACTGTTTTGGATTTCCAGATTAGATGACCTTGGGTTTGAAGTTGACTTCTTAGCTAAAACATCAAAAGCATAATCCATGAAAGAAAAAGCTGATAAATTGTATTTCATTAAAATTGAAAACTTCAGGGGCTGGTGTTGTACCTCAGTGGTACAGCACTTGCCTAGCACAGGTGAGGCGCTGGGTTCAATCCTCAAAACCACATAAAAATAAAGGTGTTGTGTCTATCTACAACTAAAAATTAAATAAATAAAAATAAAAAAATTAGGGACTGGGGATATAGTTCAGTTGGTAGAGTACTTGCCTCACATGCACAGGGGCCCTGGGTTCAATCCCCAGCACCACACACACACACACAAAAAAAAAAAAAAAAAAAAAAAGATCTGGGAGCCGAATCTGGGCTGAGCTGGTAGTGTTTAGTTCTTTTTAGAAGCTTTATTCATGATTGCTAAAATATGGAAGCAATCAAGTTGTCCTTCAATAGGTGAATTGACAAACCAGGGTACATCCATGAAAGAGAATATTATTCAGCACTACAAAGAAATAAGTTATCAAGACACACACAAAAAAATGCATACTACTAAGAGAAAGAAACTAATTTCTAAGAAAGTAGGAATTCTGATTTTTTTCACTCTTATATTCCAAGCATACAGAACTGTATCTGTCTGTCCAAGCCAGATAAATTGTATTTCAAGAAATACTTTTTTAAAAAAATGTTACTTGTCAATGGACCTTTATTATTTATTTATTTATTTGTGGTGCTGAGAATCGAACCCAGTGCCTCACACATGCTAGGCAAGTGCTCTACCAATAAGCCACAACCCAGCCCTCAATAAATATGTGATGAATTAATAAAAGTGCAGGAAAAAAACATTTTTTAGCCATCACTGACATTTCTCTTTCTCTCATCCCGCATCTCATCTATTAGCAATTTCTGTCAGTTCTGTTTTCTTATAAATATATCCAGAATCTGATCAGTTACTACTGCCATAGATCCACTCAGGGCCAAGTCACAGTCATCTTATACCTAGATCATTCCAATTGTTTCCTCATGGGTTCCCCTGCCTCCACAATCTATTCTCTACACAGCAGCCAGAGGGAGCCTTTTAATACTTTAGTCCAACAGAGGACAAACTGCTATAAAGGACTACACAGTAAATCATTTCAACTTTATAGCCTATGCTGTCTCTATTGGAAAAGCTCAACTCTGCAGGAAGCAGCCACAGACAAGTAAAGGAACAAGCATGGTTATATTTCAGTAAAACTCTACTATCGAGCTGGGGCTGGGGCTCAGTGACAGAGCCTAGCATGTGTGAGGCACTGGGTTGGATCCTTAGCACCACAAAAAAATAAACAATAAATATATTTTTTAAAAACTTTACTATCAATAGTCTACTGACTCCTGCTGTAGTCACAGGGTGTCATTCCTCTACTCTAAACCATCACATAGGCAGTTAACATCTGAAGTCTGCATATGACCACTTGCCTCTTGATTCATGCTACTCCAGCACAGTTCTCCTTCTGTGCCTTTCCAGTGACTATTCTCTGCCTGGAGCAGTTTCTTCCCTACCCAAAGGTTCACTTTTCTCCTCCTCCATGAAAACTTTCTTGACCATCTGATCTACACTGGCCACATCACTGGCTCCCCATTTACCCCTCATACTCTGACTGCGATAGAGTAAGCCCTCCTATATCCACAGGTTTGCATCCATGGATTCAAACAATCACAGATTAAAAATATTCAGAATAGGGACTGGGGATGTAGCACTTGCCTAGCATATGTGACAATGCCCTGGCTTTGATACCCAGTACCATAAAAAGAAAAAGTGTGGGAGACCAACCTTACATGTGACTGAGTCACACTCCCCGGCTGGGTGCTGAGGCACTCAGTCGCAGAAATGTGACAGAGCTTTCCCTACCCTTCTTGGGTGCGAGGGTCCATGTCTCGTGCATGGGTGTGTCTTGCTACAGCCCCATGGATGAAGCTATGCTCACCTGTTCCTTTGTAATATAACCCCTTGCCCTGTTTAGGATAGAATCTTCCTTGGAAGTGCCTTGTGTGTGTCCCCTTCTCTTACTGTGCCCTTGGGTGTGGCCTACCCAGGTGTCAGTCAACCTGCTGACAGTGGACATCATGAAGATAGACTCAGCCCCCTGAAACTTGACCCCTTGCCTCATTTAAATAATTTCTCCTCAATAAAAGGGGTCAGCGCTTGCTCTTGCTGTCTCTCTTCCTGCAGACCCTTAAGGTCAGAGGAGCCGTCACAGCGACCCCAAACAAAAAGATATTTGTGTCTCTTTTGTGGTTATTTTGTCAGCCCAGTTTTACTGGAGTGACCCCTGAGCCTTTTAGTCACAAGAACAGAAACCAGGCAAAAAAGGAAATAAATTCAAAATAGCACAAGAGGGCCAGGAATAAGCTTAGTTGGTAGAGTGTTTGCCTCATGCACAAAGCCCTGGGTTTGATCCCTAGCAGAACAAAAAAATTTTATACATATTTTGAATATCAAAAAAAGTAAAGGGCTGGGGATGTGGCTCAAGCTGTAGCGGGCTCGCCTGGCATGTGTGTGGCCCGGGTTCGATCCTCAGCACCCCATACAAACAAAGATGTTGTGTCCGCCGAAAAACTGAAAAATAAATATTAAAAATTTCTCTCTCTCTCTTTAAAAAATTTTTTTAAAAAAGTAAAAATATTTAAAATTCATCTCTGATGAATATGTAGATCTTTTCCCTTGCTATTATTACCTAAACAATACACTATGACAACTATTTACATAGCATTTAAATTCTATAGGCAAATATCATTTCATTGGACTTCCCTTTATTGGGCCTCAAAGAAATTGTGTGTCTGTTTTTTTTTTTTAGGTACTGGGATTGAACTCAGGGACACTCAACCACTGAGCCACATCCCCAGCCCATTTTTATAAACAAATTTTATTTAGAGACAGGGTTTCAATGAGTTGCTTAGGCTGGCTTTTAACTTGTGATCCTCCTGCCTCAGCCTCTCAAGCCGCTGGGATTACAGGCGTGGGCCACAGTGCCTTGCACGATTAAGTTTTTTTTTTTTTTTTTTTTGTGTGTGTGTGTGGTGCTGAGGATTGAACTCTTTGCATGCGAGTCAAGCACTCTACCACCTGAGCTATATCCCCAGCCCATATCTATTTATTTTTTTAAGTGGTGCTGAGGGTCGAATCCAGTGCTTCACAGTGAGGCAAGGGCTCTACCACTGAGCTATAGCCCCAAGTATTTTTAATTAAAGTATACAAGTTATCTTTTTCTGCCACGATGTCATTGCACACTTTTTAGGCTACAGTGTCATATAAATCTAACTGATATGCACTGTAAATAAAAAAATTAGTGTGACTATTGCAATATCCATGTTACTGCAGTGGTCTAGAACCAAAACCTGCACTATCTCTAGGGGGGTCCCTGCGTTAGGTATTATAAGTCCCTAGAGATGACCTAAAGTCAAGGGAGGTGTGAGTAGGTTCTACTCAAACATACCGTTCCACGAAGGACTTGGGCACATGCAGCTTTGGGTACCTGAGGGGGCATCCTGAACAAACCCGAGGCTGCCCAGGAGAGGGATGCATAGTGGGGACTTTCTGTCTCCTCCTCTAGGGGGTCAGCTCATTCTGCGTCCCCAGCTCCCAGAACTGTGCCTGGCACATGGAGGATGTCCCCTCCACCGGTGGAACAAGAGCACCAGGACAAACACCGGAGGAACCCTGTGGAAGGAGCGGGTGACCCGAAGGACCGCTGGGCGGGTCTCCTCACCTAGCTGACCCTCCACCAGCTTCCTCTTCGCCGTGCTCCTGGCCTTGCTGGTGCTCCCCCATCGCCTGCGGCTCCTGGTCCTTGAACTCTACGTGGGGCATGTCCACCTGCGGGCACAGCCGGCGCCTGAGAGGCCGCGGGCGTCTGGGCGTCGTGTCCCCCGCCTCGACCCTGGGCACCTCCGTGTGTGCGAGGTGGGGACCCGCGGAAGAGACGGGCAGAGCCGGGTGGGTGCCGCGGGGACGGAGCAGCGGGGTGGGGGCCGTGGGGGGCCGGGGACCCGGCGGGGAGACCTGGAGGGGCCGGGGTGAGGGCACAGGCTCTGGGAGGGGTGCCGTGGGGCCTGGGCTGCCAAATGGCTTGTGTGTCGGCTCCAGTCCTTCCAGGAAGGAGAAGAGGTAGGAAAAGGAGAAGAAGAAAAGAAACAGGGGCAGAGCACGGGTGTCTGGGCCTCTTTCTACCCTGCTGCTGCCGCGCGCCATGCGCCTAAGTCTGTCCTGGCCAAGGCTGTCTGCACGTCAGTCACCGTCCCTTCGTCAGTCAGTCAGGGCCTGGCCGGTCAGTCGGGAATCGGCGCCAGGCCCGGCGAGAGGCGACCCCGATGGTAGGAAAGGAGTGGCCGGGATCAGTTCTGCTGGGGAAGCCCGGGATCGCGGCCGTTCCTTGCCCGTCCGCCCTCCGCCCGCGCGAAGGAAAACAGTTCTGCCTACTTCTGGTCGCTCCATCCTTTTCCCGCCTTTAGGTTCCCGCTCTCTGCGCACGCGCCGGCCTCGCCCCCGGCACCAGCGCACGTGCTGAAGCTCACCCTCCAGGCCCCGCCCCCACCGGGAACCTGCGCACGCAGCCGGTGTGACTGGCCGTTAAGTGGCGGTGAGTGGCGGTTGAGCTGTCCAGGAGTTGCGCGGGCAGCTGGAGCCGCCCGGGGCAAGGTTGTTTTTAGCACCTAGGTCTGCGCATGCGGGAAGCTCCAGGGCGCCTCATGGAGCCCGGGTTGTGGGGAGCGGTGTGCGTGATGTTCATTCTATACGGCTCATTTCGTCCATTCTATGTGGAGAAACCTTTCCAATAAAGAATTCCGGCCCTTGACGTCCCTTGGTTATGACCATGGCTCCCTATTATCCTCGGTGTGAAAGTTTATGCAGCCAGGTTTGGTGGCGCACACCTGTAACCTCAGCTACTCGGAGGCTCAGGCGGGAGGATGGTAAGTTCGAGGCCAGCTTGGGCAACTTTTTGAGACCCTGTCTCAAAAAGGGATGGGGATGCAGCTCAGCAGTAGAGCGCCCCTGGGTTTAGATCCCAGTACTGAGTTGTACATTTACAACTGTAAATTAGTTCAACTAGAAGCTCCTTGAAAGCAATGTGGGGTTTGCCTCCACAGTGTGGCGCCGCTTATTAATAACAGCAGAAACAGCAGTAATCAACAGTTAGTACAGGAAGCCTGATGGGGAGAAAATATTTGCAGATATATTTGTTTATGAAAGAACTTGTAAACTGCATTTGCAAAGAACTTTTGCAACCCAGTAAGATGGTTTTAAAAATGGGAATGGGCTTGGTGGTACATGCCTGTGTCCCAGCTACTGGGGGAAGCTAAGGCTAAGAAATTGAGGGCCTGTGGGACGACATAATAAAACCCATCTCAAGAAAAGGGGTGGTATATGTTGCGATGTAGCTGAATGGTAGAGCACTTGCCTCACATGTGCACAGCCCTGGACTCATCCCCAGCACCACACCCATGCACACACACAAATGAGCAAAAGGTTCCAACAGGTGTATGCAAAGGTCGTAAGATGAAAGCAGTCGATGTAAAGGAACAGCCATGAGGTCTTCCAACAGGAAACCAGAGATCTGTGGGAGGTTTTGAGGTTTTGTTGGATAGAGTTTGAGGAGCCCAGCAAGGTGGTACATACTTATAATCCTAATTACTCAGGAGGCTGAGGCAGAAGGATCGAAAGTTTGAGGCCAGCCTCAGAAATTTATTCTTGTCTCAAAATAAAAATAGAGATGGAGCTTCTCACCAGTGATATATTGCAATGTCCATGTCAGGGAGGATGTAGCATGAATCTGATGACATTGTTCACCTGTTTTGCCTCAGCATCTGTCCATAGCCACACCCTGACTAGGACACATCTTGATGCCCACACTCTGGAGGTGAGTTTGAATCTGGACTCTTACCAGCAGTGTGATCACAAAAGTGCCACTCAATCTCGGAATCTATCCTCATTCTATTACCAGGGTGATACAAAGCTAAAATGAGGCTGTTTAAAAGCTCCAGGGAAAAACATCTGGTAAAAAGTAAAGATTCAGCAAATAGCCACAAGTTGAACAAAATGCACTTCCTGCAGCCTGGGGTTTGAAGATTTGAGGATGACACAGAAAAATCTCAAAGGCTTACTGTTAAGCATGTGCAAAGCCCTGGGTTTGATCCCTAGCATCTCCCCATTCCCTGCCTAAAATAATCCTGTTATGCTAATAAGGTGACATAGGGTGGGGTGTCTAGATTGTGCTGGTTGGCAGAAAGACCTAGTGAACCAGGACTGGAACTTTCAGCCCCACCCACTGACCTCCTTGAAGGGGCAGAATGGGAGAGGACTGGAGATTAAGCTCTATTAAAAACTCTTGAAAACCAACTTCTCTTAACTTGAGAGGCTGAGGCAGGATGATCACAAGTTCAAGGCCAGCCTCCACAATTTAGCAAGACCCTGTCTTGAAATAAAAAGAGCTGAGGGGTAGCTTAGTGAGAGTGGTTGCCTAGTATTATGGGGCCCTGGATTTAGTCCCCAGTATTGAAAACAAACAAAACTCCTGAACAGTTATGTTCAGAGAACTTCCAGTTTGATACCTGGAGGGTACCAAAGAGTACATGAGAAGACTTGGAAGCTACATGTCACCACCCCCAGCCCCATCTCACCCTATGCATCTCTTCCATTTGTCTGTCCCTGAGTCATTAATGTAAGCTAAGCATGCTGAGTTCTCTGAGCATCCTATCAAACTATTGAACCTGAGGAGGTGATGGAACCCGAGGTCAGAAGTACAAGTAGCCCCCGGGCTTGAGACTGGCCTCTGATGGGACAGACCTACTCAATTGAGCCCTTGGCCTGTGGGGCCTGTGCTAATTATGGGTAGTTAGTTTCAGAACTGAGTTGAATACTTTAACAACCAGTTGGTTTACAGAGAATCGTGATTGGTTTGGGTGTTGGAAAATGTAATTGGTGGTGCAGGTGTTTGAGCCGTTTTATCCGTCTGATTTTGGCCACTGTGCTCTTCTTACCACCTCTCCACTGATTAATTCTAGATCTTTAGAGCTTAAAATCCCACCACAGATATTTTATTCAGCGTTCTTTATTTTGCAAATGAAGTAAAAGAAGCCAAAGAAATCCCCTCTTTGTGAACCTAAGTTCTGTGGAGAAGCTGCTTCACACTGGCCCTGCTGACTGGACAGACGGACTTGCGGGTCCACATCTTAATCCCTTCAGTAGCCATTGACCTCCAGCCTCTGTACCTGACCCAACGTTGTCCTATTAGGTAAACCTCTTGGAAGGCACCCTGAGTTGAGCAGACCTCCAGCCTCCACCAACCCCAAAGCTCCGATGCTATTAGATCCCACCTCAAACCTGAAGAGATTTCCCCCTTGCAGTAGCCCAGCTCCTGAGGCTCCCACCAGTGCATTTGGTAAACGTGTTAATTTATGACTTTCTTTTGTTTTGTGAATATTAAAGCTGCCTGCTGTAACCTCTGCTGCAGTAACATGCCTTTCAGGGTAACTTTAATCCACATTTCCAGAAAGGCCATGGTCACTCATATTTGGCTCAACATAAAACTACTTTATTTCCTTAAAAAAAAAAAAAAAAAATTCCAGCTAAGTGCCATGGCATATACTATAACCCCAGCTACCTGAAAACCTGAGACAGGAGAATTACAAGTTTGAGGCCAGCCTGGGCAACTCGGCAAGACCCCATTTCAATTTTTTAAAAAAGGCTGGGTTGTAGCTCAGTAGGGCACTTCCTAGCACGTGGTGGGCCCTGGGCTCAGTCCCCTGTACCACACACAGAGAACCAGCCTCCTTGCCTGGCGGGGAGCTTGGCCTCTGGATCTCCAGTGGCGTCCCGGCACAGGGTGTTTCTATTCCGTTCACCTAGAGGAGGGCTTGGTGGAGCCGGCAGGGCCTCCCAGGTCCCCCTACTCATCTCCACCACCCACATCCAGGGACCCATTATCCCATGTCCTCCCCATGGAGCAACACATGGGGCCCCTAAAGAAAGGCACCAGATGAGGGCAAGTGCCCACTTTATTAACAGCAGCTGGGCTCCAGGGCTCCCCTGGCCCACCTCATAAGATCAGCAGACCACAGAAGGCCAACAGAAGGAAGCTGCCACCCACCCCTTGGGGCCTGCTTCTGGGATGGGTGCAGAGGTGGGAGGAGGACTGGCCTCACGGAGGCCTCATAAATACAAGGGGGTCACTGATGAAGAATGTAAAAAGGCTGGGCGGCAGGGACCCAGGGAGGATGGGCGATCCTGGGGCAGCCTGTGTCACGCAGCCTGGGTCTGTGGGGTCTTTGGTTCCGTGTCCAGGCGGCACAGGGGACTGTCATATACCATCTGCAGGTTCACCTTGTGGCCCACCAGCTCCCGGATATTGTTGATGCCATACTTGATCATCGTTGGGCTTGGGGAGGAAGGGTCACAGTTTAAAACCAGGTCAAGTCATGCTCTCTGCTCAGAACTTCTCTGAAGGTTCTCAGCTTCTTCAAAGTAAAAGCCAACGTCTTCTCTGTGGCCCACAAGGTCCTGCACATTGCCTCCTCTCTTCGTCTCTTCCCCCTCTCCCCCCTTCCTCCTTTGCACTGGCTCCACCCGCTGTGTGGAACACCTTCCCAGAGATCCCCCTGGCTCACCCCTTCTATCTCCAACCTGCTCAGGCCAAGTGCTCCACAAAGCCGTCCCCGACAGTCTCCTTAGCCCTTCTGCTTTGTTCTTGCTAATACTTGCTGTCCTTGGACACTCTGGTTTTATGGATCTCATTTCATTTACTAAGTTTACTTATTTATCTTGCTAGTCATCCTTGCTCCCCTGCTCAGAGGAGGCAGGGCTGTGAGCTCTCCGTTCACAGCCCAGGGCCAGGCACGCAAGCTTGCCCAGGAAAGAACACATGAAGTTGCCTGAGGCAGCCAAACAGTACTCACCGCTCCAGGGAGAGGCCCCAGGCAATGACCGACACATTCTCAGGGAGCCCCATGGGCAGCAGCATCTCAGGGCGGAAGATCCCAGAGTTCCCCACTTCCACCCACTTCTTCAGGCCTGTGGGTGTGGGATACAGAAGACAGGGCAGCATGTGGCTGGCTGGGCCTGGCAGTGAGTTGGGCAAGTGGGCCGGGGGCTCGGCAGTGTGGGGGACCTGGCTCAGCCAGGGGTACCTGGGTGATAGCTGAACACCTCCATGCTGGGCTCAGTGTAAGGGTTGTAGGCGGGCTTAAAGCGCAGCT